CAAAGTTTAAAGATATTGCATGAAAGCACCCAAATTCTACTGCCCGTAATTTGAAAGGTATGTTTTAAATGGAGCTAAACTAGCGGCACAGTTTCATTCCGATTTACTTTGTGTTTTTACCGCAAAAGAAAATCAGCAGTGCCCACATGGCCAACTTTGAAAGGAAAGTTCCCCAAAATACATACGGCAGAAGAAAATGTATTTCAGTGACCCAATCAATTTTTTTTTTAATGCAGAAATTTAAATAAGGTAAATTATACCCACTAATTAATTTAATAATTTATCAGCAAGAATGAAAAGCTTTCTGAAATAGGTACTTGTACTTAATACAGGATACTAATTGGCAGAACCTCATTGTTACATAATTCTAATTTTCCTATGAAGTTAATAGGTTTCTATAACAATTGTCTTTTTTGAATATCTATTATGATCTTTTGATATCAAATACAAACTAGACACAGCCTAACTTTATCACTATGTCATTAAAATTATTAACATGACCTTGTTCTAATACATTTAGGATCCATTTTAACTCATTAATTTCTGTATTATAACTCAATCTCCTTCCTTAGTAAATAGGTTAGGGCTTATTTTGGTTCTATGTTTCTTTTTAATATTTTTACTAATATATTTACCAATCTTTTAATATTTTAAAATTTATGAATTTTTATGAACAATATCTGAATTTGAAAAGGTAACTTCTAAATGTGTTTCCTAGATGTCATTATAAAATAAATTTTGTACAAAGTTACTTCAACAGTAAAACTTAAGATTGATAGTTCTTTTTTTAAAGTATACTAAAACTAAAATATATATTATAATTATTTTTAAAAATCCAAAACCTTCTAAAGACAAATTTTTTTTTAAATAGATAAGAACTTTTTAAGTAGATAAAATTCATTAAATAATGCTTTCTTCTTTCACATTAATTTTATCTTTAAACTAAGGTAGAATGAATAAAGACTTAAACATTAAATTAAAACTTCAGTAAACCAGATTTTCACCATTTGTCTTTTGTTTTAAAGCCTCAAAAAATATGAATAAAAACTCTCATAAAATATTTGCGTTTGCTTCACATAACTGGAACTGGAACTTTCTTCTAACTTTGTGCAGTGTGCAGGAATTTTGTGTTTTGCCTACAAATATGTATCCCTGACCTAGAACAGTGCTCGGCACCTAATAGATGTGCAATGAACATCTGTTGAACAAATGAGTACTTTACAGAAAAACAGTTAAGATGGAATAATCATCTAAAAGACAATAACAATCATCTGTCAATTTCCAGAATTACTGTCCACAATGGGTATGCTAAGGTATCAGAACCACCATTATCTATACAACAATAATTTTTCTTGTTAAAACAACAGCCAAACAATAAGCATTTCCTGATACCAGTAAGCAAATACCATGAACTTTTAAAATGAAACTTTAGAAACTAGGATGTTCTAAAACATTTCTTAGGCTATAAAAGTCTGAGTGGAACTCCAGTCATAAATATACTTGGAAAATCAGGACATGACAGTGTTTTCTCAGGTTTAGAAAAGCAATTCAGAAGCAACAGTACCCTAAAACCACAGAAGATTTGTCTGAGCAGCAGCACCAGGGTATTTTCAGTAATTCCAAATTGCCTGTGGCATCTTTTTACTGATTTTCTGGTATTAGTTTTAGAGTTAAAAGGAACCAATTTGGAAGGGGACAACAGGGAACATAAATAGCAGTTTCTTTGCCCCTACTGGTTTCTCATACAGTGGTCAGAAGTATAAAATAATACATAGTATGGCTTTCTCCCTATGTAATTTTCCAGGTAAAATGAGACTCCTAATGCTCCAGTCAGTTTAATAAAATAAGGAAAATCCTACAATGTTTAAAGACAATTGAAAAACAAATTTAGAGCATTTATTCAGTTAAGAATGAGCTGTGAATCTCACATTATGTGTGATAATCAGAGAGCTCATTATAATAAAGATACTAAATTTAAAACAGAATATTTTATGATAGCTAAAAGAATCAGGTGAAATCTAGGTAGAGTTAAAAAAAATGACTTACAAAAAGTTAAGTAAATCATTTTAGAGGAAATAAAGTGGTCAATCATAATTAGAACATAAAATGTTGCCATCTAAAATACCATCATTGAGTAAGTATGTTCTGGAAATATCAGGGTATATCCAGATGGGAAGGGAAAACAGACAGTTGGTCTACAGAAAAAATTAAGGCAAATAATTCCTAAACTTCGTAAAAAAATATTAACACTTAGATTTAAACTATTAAGTAGATTTATTTTCTGTACAAGAGACTATTAACATAGTCACTGAGTCTCTTAATATTTCATGCTTTTTATTTAATGATTTATTCTTATACCTTTAAGAGACAATACAGGCAACTGATTTCTATAAAGGCTTTTGTCTTATATACAGGCTTTTGGGGTTGTTTTTCCTGCAAACTATTAAAAAACAATCTTCAATACATGACCATTGCTACATTTAGGAAAACAAGAGGTTTTCTGAAATTTTGTGCCAATAACAAACATAATTCTTAATAAAAGATACAACATTATTTCACAATTAGAAATCATAATGCACATATATAGTGCAAGAGTTAAAAAATAAAATATCACACAATCCATTGTGTGAGTAAATAATTGTGCTAAGGCTTCTAACAACTTTGCTGCACCTTTCCAGCCCTTTGATTTTTCTAGTGTGACTTACCAATCAGAGTTACCTTCTTACTGGTATAGTGAATGTTTTGCTTCTGATGAACTTAAAATTTGTTACAATTCCCCAGTTACAAAAGGAAGAGTGCTCATATACTCTGACATTAATACATTCAGAAGCTAAGAGAACTCTACACTAATTCTATATTAAATACACTGAGAGACCCCCCAGACTTTTTCTTAGGGACTTATGTATTTTTATAAATGGAGATGGATGAAGATATGTTAAGTTGGTGGCTTCTATATATGAAGAATATGATGCTTCTACAAATAAGTCAATTATTCATGCAGATAAAGAAGAAAGGACGATCTTATCCTCAATGATGTTCATGATCCAAAAATATGTTATATTAATTTATGCAAAGTAGTAAAACATCAACAATCACTTTATTATTGTAAGTAGGAGAAAAGAAATACCAGAATCTCCAAAAGATTTAGTGAGCCTATCCCGCTTCTTCCTGAAAAAATATTTCAAGCATCCTGTAAGATTTTTAAGTTGAATGCAGAAAATATAAATAGGCCAAAAAAAAGGGGGGGGGGGTATTAATGAAGAGGTGGGAAGAATAACAAACTCATTGCTGTGGTTCAGAACAGAATCACTACATGGGCTGTGACATCTGATTAAGTTACTGTCCAGCTAAGTTTACATGGATCTAAAATCAGTGACAAAGCAATGAGGACTCCTGGGGGCCGGGGAGGAAAAGCCACTGACTGTGGAGAGAAAACGATCCCTTCAGCAGCCAACACCTTTGAGGGGAAGAGCTACAGTGAGGGATGACCAGTGTGCTCCTCACTGACGGCCTCCCTGGAACAGAAAAAGGAAGTAGAGAAGAAATGAAGAAAACAAAATTTCTCTTTGGGAAGAAAAGAATAAAATTAATCTCCTATTAAATCTCTAAAAAAGAAAACTGAATGTGAAAATTCTATTGTAACCTCTGGCTGTGATGGCTGAACACATTTGGAAGCACCAAGCAAAGAGCGAACCAGGGCTCAACTCCTAGAAATACAGACTCAAATTAATTACTTTTACTATAAAAAACAGATTAAAATGCATTAATAGAAAAAATAATGGAAATAGCCCTGATGAGAATCAACAGGGCAAAAATTTGGGTACAACAAGTTTCTCCAAGAAAGACATAAACTAGGTATTGATGGTATTCCAGTCTTTTAGGGGAAAAGTGGCTAAACTTTAAAGAGAAGAAAAGAGTCTCTAAATCAAACATATAACCCATTAGTAATGTCACACTGTAAAATATACAATAATACATTATCTAGAAGACAGTAGTTTTCCTAGAATAACAATGTATAGAATCAAGATCCATGGCCCAAAACATGATTACAGCTACAAGGTTTTTTGTTGCTTAATTTAACTTTTTTGTGGGGAGAGAACAGGGGGTATGACCCTGACGTCATGTCAGAAAAATGTAAAAAGATCTAAACTAAACTAAAAGCAGTTCATGAGAAAACAATGTATGTTTTAATGATAAAGGCTACTGGCTGGATGATATAATTGTATGGAATATTTTGATATTTTAGGAAAATAGCAACAATTTAGGCTTCTAATCATAAGTTTATTAATAGTTACCCACAAATTGGAGAAAAAAAAAGAAAATTTTAAAAGTCATCAAACTAATTTTAATATGTCTTGTCGTCCTGTTTTTGCCTAAATTTGGTTGAGAATCTAGATACAGTCACATAAATCCTAAATAAAAGGGACTCCATGAGGCCAGTACATTCTAAATTCATCGTCAAACTTATCATACAGCTTCGACATAACAATCGGCAATAAAATTAATAGTTATTAAACAGATATTTATGGCTACTCTGTACATATACATATATACATATATGTGTAGTCAATGCAGTGTGAATTCATATATACTTTTAAATTTTTCAAAATTTACATGTAACTAAAATAATAAAGAAATACAGGTATCCAACAGAGATTTAAATCTGACAACTGCTGGACATACTTTAGTCAAATTTAAAGTAACAAATGTGCATAAAAATTTTACACATAAAATTTTTTGGCAAACATATAAATACGGGCACCTATTTCCAAAACATAATATGACAGAGCATTATACAGGAAAAGTAATCCCAAAGCTTTCATTTTTATTGTAGTTCAGTGTAATTATTAAATTAAAATCTTTCTTTAGCGGTGGACAGTTTTAAGCAAACTCAACATGTTTTTCCACTGGAAAATTCTGTATTACTATGACTAATCTTTCAGAGCTATGTATTTTCTTCAAAATAGCTTATGCCTATGTACAGAATTTGGATCACGTACCCATGCCTCTGTCTGAATGGGCCTGATGTTGCTTAGTAGCACCTCTTCATAGTTTCCATAATCAATGAATTTAACAACTGCTGTCATACCTGAAGAATGGAGAGCTTCAACTTCCGCTCGGTAAAACTGAGGAGACAAAAATGAGTTTTAAATAGGGCAATCAACAGAGTCTGCAAAAGGCTATATTTGATGCAGATAGAAATAATCTAAGTGTTAAAATGTGCAATTTTTTTGACAGCTCAGTTTTTTAAATTAATATTTTGAGATACAACTGACACAGAACAATGTATTAGTTTCAGATGTACAACACAGTAGTTTGATATATGTTCATATGGCAAATGATCACCACAATAACTTTAATGTCCTTCACCACAGTTACAGAAATTTTTTCCTTTGTGATGAAAACCTTTAATCTTTACTCTCTCAGCAACATTCAAATATGCAATATTTTAAAGAAAATAATTTTTAAGAGAATAATGTATTTAAGAAATAAAACTTACCTTTGAATAACCATAAATTGGCTAAAAATGGTAAATTATTTTATCAATATGAGTTCTGACATACACTAAACAGTAGTAATTATTCAGGACAGAGCTCGGCAGTCAGGGGAGAATAGTCAATGCTGATGGGTGTATAAGAACCAGTGTTTTGTTGTTAGCCACTGAAATCCTTTAACTAACATTAGTAAGACAATTCTTATGTACTAATCAGAATATATAACTATGGAGCAATTTATTTAAAAAACAAACAAACATAAATGTAGACAAAATAAATACAAAGGAAAAGGCTCATTGCTACTGGCCTCACAGGCAGCTTAAATCACAGTTCTCCATGCCCTTCTGAAACACGAGTCCCCGGATGTACCAGGAAAGGTCTGATTTTACTGATTAACTAGTACTCTTCACGTTACAAAGTGAGTTAATGCATGGTGCTTCCCTCACAGGTCTGGATCCTAAGAAGTTTAGAAACATCATGCTGGAATTTTCAAAATCTTACGAGTTCTTGATACACATTCGCATCTCTCCATCCCTTCTCTTTGTCTTTAGTCTCACACTACTATGTTTTGTGAGTTGTTGAGAGTATTTTTGGACCTATACTTCTCAGATAATTATGTCAGTTTAGGTAAGTTCAACAAACAATGAGTCATAGCATATCCTAGAAGAACAAATATATTGACATCTTTTTAGAACTTACACTATATAAAATGACTTCTACATAATGTGGCAAGTGCTGTCATAATGGTGCAGTGTATGGTATTTGATAAGGCTGGGGAGTTTCGGAAGAGCTCCGTGGGGCAGAGGACCATCGACACAGTCGTCAAGGATGAAGACAGTTTAGCCAAGTGAAGAACTGAGAAGGGCATTTGTTTCAGGGAATGTCACAGAGATGTGAAACATAAAGATGAGTGCAAGAAACTACAAAGAGTTTAAAATTACCGCATGATGTGAGAAAAAGGGTAAACCAACAGGCAATTAGGACAAGAAGGTAAGAGCCAATAGACTGAGGCTCTATGCAGGTTAGAATATGTATTTATTTCACAGGTAAAAGAGTTTAACAGGTAAAAGACTATGTCATAGTCCAGGAGCACAGTGGTAGCAGTTTCAACAAGTGCACAAGGAATAAGGTTTAAGGCAAGGAGAGCGTTTGGAGGTGGTGAGAGTATTCCAGTCGAGGGCAGAACAAGCTGAACTAGTTATGGCAGTCTAGAGGAAGAAGAATCATCCCAAATCCTCAAATGCTTCAATGCAAATAAGGCAAGATATAGTGAAGAACTTAAAAAAAAATTATTATTGTATTATTATTACTTTTCATTAATTTATTTTTGTTACAGATGTTTCTCCTTTTTCCCCCATTGACACCCTCCTCCCGATCCCGCCCACGGCATCTCCAGCATTATTGTCTATGTCCATGGTTACACACATATATATATAGGTTCTATGGTTTATCTCCCCCCCTCCATCCCCTTCTTCTGAGGTTTGTCAGTCTGTACCCTACTTCTATGTCTCTGGGTCTATTTTATTCATCAGCTTGTTTTGTTCATTCCACAAATAAGTGAGATCATGTAGTATTTGTCTTTCTCTGATTGGCTTGTTTCGCTTAGGAAAATACTCTCCAGGTCCCTTCATGTTGTCTCAAAGGATAAGAGATCTTTCTTTCTTACCGCTGCATAGTGTACCATTATGTATATGTACCACTGCTTTTTTATCCATTCATCTACTGATGGACACTTGGGCTTTTTCCAGATCTTAGCTATTGTAAATAGTGCTATGAACACAGGGGTACATATATTCTTTCTGATTGGTGTTTCAGGCTTCTTAGGGTATACACCTAGAAGTGGGATCACTGGGTCAAATGGCAGTTCGATTTTAAATTTTTTGAGGTAACACCACAGTGTTTTCTTTTTTTTTTTAATCCTTCCAGCATCATTTTATTTTATTTTTTTTAAAATTAATCTATTTACTTTTGCTACAGATGTTTCTCCTCCTCCCCTCTGATACCCCCCTCCCTCCCTCCCCACCCTGCCCCCAGCTTAGTTGTCCATGCCCACTGTTCATGCATACATGCATATAAGTTCTGTGGTTTATCTCTCCCCCACCTCCCCCTCTTCTGGGGATCGTCAGTCTGTACCCCACTGCCACATCTCTGGGACTACCCCATTCCTCATACTGTTATGTTCATTATATTCCACAAATAAGTAAGATCATATGATAACCTGTCTTTCTCTGTTCTGCTTGTTTCACTTAGGATAATACTTCCCAGGTCCCTCCATGTCGTCTCAAAGAAAAAAAGATCTTTCTTACAGCTGCATAGTACTCCATTATGTATATGTACCACCACTTTTTTATCCATTTGTCTACTGATGGACATTTGGGCTGTTTCCAGATCTTAGCTATTGTAAATAGTGCTGCTACGAACACGGGGATACATATATTCTTTCTGATTGGTGTTTCAGGCTTCTTAGGGTATATTCCAAGAAGTGGGATCACTGGGTCAAATGGCAGTTCAATTTTTAATTTTTTGAGGTAACACCACAGTGTTTTCCATAGTGGCTGCACCAGTCTGTATTCCCACCAGCAGTGTACTAGAGTCCGTCCCCTTTTCTCCACACCCTCGCCAACACTTGTTGTTTGATGATTTGTTGATGGCGGCCATTCTGACAGGTGTGAGGTGATGCCTCATAGTTGTTTTAATTTGTGTGAATAACTTTTAAGTGATAAATTTCACTAATTGATTAATCTGGTCCAAAACACTACTGTAATGCAATTAAGATTATGATTTCTTAAAAGCCAATGCCTTTTCTTAAATCTTCACTCTTGTCTCTGGCTAGAAAATTAAAAAGCTGACTATTCTTGACAAGACATATAAAAGCTATCTCTTAAATTAGGTGCTTTCAGAAGATAACTAATCTTACCTCTTTCAGAGTGAATATTGTTTATCTCACTTATTTAGTCGTAAGATCTTTACAGAGCCCACAGTCCCTCACTCTCAACAGAAAGTACACATCCAATTAACATCAAAGTAGTCACCTTAGAAGATCATCCAACAATTCTAAGAATACTCTAAAAGCTCAAAACATTTTAGAAATTATTAGGTACTGGCTTTTAGAAGGTACATTACATTATTTGGAATAAATTCAGTAGAGGCAATACATGAATTCCATACTATTGATTTTTTTTAGACAATTATAATCTCATTAGGTATTTGAAGACATATGGGTAATAACACAGCCAGAACTATCTGATCTATCCCAAGCACCTGACACTTAGCATTTACTCAATTATGATTTGCTAAAGAACTTGTCTACTAGGTCTAATAGCTCAATAGCTGTCAGTCTTATTTTTCTCTGTTGTTTTGCTTCTGGTCAATCACTTTCTCTCTCTCTCTCCTTCCCTCCCCCCCTTTCTTTAACCATGCCTCATAATTTATTATAGGATGCCAGACATTACAGATAAAATGTTGAAAAAGTTCTAGGAAATGTGTTTTGTTTTTTTGTTTTTTCCTCAAAAAGAGGATTTGATTTCCTTTGGCAGGCAGACAGAGCACAAGCAGATATCCTTGATCCTGTAAATCAGGGGTGGGGAACCTTGTTCTGCCAAGGGCCTTTTAGATATTTATAACATCACTCAAGGGCCATACATAATTATCACCTTAAAAATTAGCCTGCTCTATTCAGTCAAGCATTTAATTAACCCACCCCTAATGTGATGGCTGGAACTGCTTCTCTTTGGAGAGGCTGTGATGTCAGCTGCGAAGGGCTGGTTTCGGGCTTTGAATGGCTTATTTGCAGTAGTTTTGTACTTGCTAGTAGGGCACGATCCTCGTGAGACTTGAAATATTATCTGACTTGAAGGACAATCACTTACCTTCTCTGCTTGTCAAAGTCACTAACAACCCACACTGTCCAATGCGGAAAAAATATTTTTCTATTTTCATCATAATCAACCTTTCACAGAAGCATCTGACACACTTTGCTCTACCAACAAACACTGACTTCCAACTACTTCACTTCTTCTTGTCCCCAGCATGAGGAAGAAATAGGTAAATGTAAGTACTTCTTCATTTCCCAAATCAAATAGTCCCTGTATTCTGGAAAGTGAGTGGTCTGGGTGGAAAGCGTAATAGTCTTATGGCACTTGCTTTCCAAGCCTTCCTAATAGCCAGGGAGTAGCCATGTAAAATAGTTCCAACTGGGACTTCCGGTCAAGATGGCGGGTAGGTAACCGTGGTATCGCGTCCTCCCACAACCACACCAAAGTTACAACTAAACTACAGAACAACCATCATTCAAAACCACCTGAAATCAGGCTGAATGGAAGTCCTACAACCATGGAATTAAAGAAGCACCCGCATCCAGACTGGTAGGAGGGGCGGAGGTGGATGGGCTGGTCCCACACCCACGTGTGGCAGATAAAAATCAGGAGGACACCTCGGCTGAGAAAATCCTCCCTAAGGACTGAGGGGTCCCCGTCCCACACCAGGCGCCCCGTTTAGGGTTGCAGTGCCACGAGGAGAATCCCTATAACTTCTGGCTGGAAAAACTAGCAGGAACTGAGGCTCAAGAAGGCTGAGGCGGCTGAAGCCCCAGGCAGCTCCTCTTAAAGGGCCGGTGCACGGATTTAAAGGACTCTCTCCCTCTAAGCTTGGAGGGGAGGCAGCTCAAGGGGCGCCAGAGACATACAGGGAAGAACCCAGCTGTTTGGCATTGGAGCGAGGGCTGGAGAGGGGGCTTTCTCCGGGACAGACATGCTGTCAGAGGTCTTTGTTCTTTGGTGAGCCCTTCCCTGGGGCAGCGGACAGTTGCAATATCTGGGACTCCAGCAACCTGGCTCACACTGGTAACCCCGCCCTGGAGACTCCCTGAGGGCCCGCCCCACCCAATTTACAGGCCCACCCAAGCTGTTGCCACTTGCTTAACCATAGTATTGGCCTGTCTTGGATCCTGCTTCAGGTTTTCCTAAATTCTTTCAAACAAGCAGCATCTGGTCTCAGCTAGCCCCATACCTCTCGTTGAGTAACACATAGAAACAAACACAGGGAGGTGGCCAAAAGGAGGAGACAAAGAAACAGGTCCCAAATGAAAGAACAGAAAAAACCTCCAGGAAAAGAAATGGAGATAAGTAACCTAACAGATGCTGAGTTCAAAATACTGCTTATAAAGATGCTCAATGAACTTAGGGAGAACCTCAGCAAACTTAGTGAGGGCCTCAAGAGCACAAAAAAGGACCAGTCAGAAATGAAGGAGGCATTAACTGAAATAAAGAATAATTTACACAGATTCAATAGTAGAGTACATAAATCCAAGAAGCCAACCATCGATTTGGAATATAAGGAAGCAAAAAACACCCAATCAGAACAGCAAAAAGAAAAAAAATCCAAAACAATGAGGAGAGTGTAAGGAGCGTCTGGGACAACTTCAAGCGTGCCAACATTCGCATCTTGCGGGTGCCAGAAGAAGAAGAGAGAGAACAAGAAATCGAAAACCTATTTGAAACAATAATGGCAGAAAACTTCTCTAACTTGGTGATAGAAACAGACATACAAGTCCAGGAAGCACAGAGTCCCAAACAAGATGAACCTCAAGAGGCCCACACCAAGACACAAAATCATCAAAATGCAAAAGGTTCAAGACAAAGAGAGAATCTTAAAAGCAGCAAGAGAAAAGCAGTTATTTACCTACAAGGGAGTTCCCATTAGGCTGTCAGCTGATTTCTCAAAAGAAACTTTGCAGGCCAGAAGAGAGTGGCAAGAAATATTCAGAGTGATGAAAAGCAAGAACCTACAACCAAGATTACCTGCAAAACTGTCATTTAGAATCGATGGCCATGTAAAGAATTTCCCAGACAAGAAAAAGTTAAAGGAGTTCATCACACCAAACTGTTATTATATGAAATCTTGAAGGGTCTCTTTGAAGAAAAAGTTAAAATACATGAACAAACAAAATGGCAATGAATACATATCTACTGACAATGGAATCTACAAACAAAATGAGCAGGCAGAACAGAAACATTTTCATAGATACAGAGAACATTTTGTTGGTTGCCAGATGGAAGGGGGGTTGGAGAAATGGGTGAAAAGGTGAAGGGATTAAGAACAAACTGTTTGCTAGACTGACAAACCTGAAAGGGAAGACGAGTTTGGGGGAGGGGAAGAAATAAACCAAAGAACTTATATGAATATATGCATAACCAATGGACACAGACAACAGTGTGGGAAAAGGCAGGAGGGGGGCGGGAGTGGAGAGGAGGGGGTCAATGGGGAAAAATGAGGAACATCTGTAATACATTCATCAATAAAGATTAAAAAATAAATAAAAAATAAAATAAAATAAAATAGTTCCAACTAATAAGATTGTCTGTTGATATTTCTGGAAAGGTTTTTGGTTTTCAGGAAAAACAACAAAAACAAAAACACAGCTAGTACTGTCTGGGCCCCTCCTTTTAGCTTTGAATACAAACTTGGCAGTAAAGCTGCTGCTTCTAGACGAGTATTATCCCACTTGCAAATAAAGACCTTAAGACAGTGCCACCTGGCTATCCCACCCTGTACCCACCTTGCTGGTATCGGCAGGTAACACCTGACACCTGGCCTATACCACACCATTCACTGAACACGGTGGGACCTGGCTCCTGATCCCAAGCCCTGCAGCATCTTTTTGAAAGATCCATCCACCTTCCCTGGCCTAAACTTCAGTTCCTTGAAATCTTCAGTTAATTTTACTTTCACCACTTCTTTTAGTCACACACACACACTCTCATGAGACCATCCTTACTTTATCAACCAACTACTCTCCTTATAAAATATTTACTTCAAAATTTTTTTTTCTTTGACCTGATCCTCACACCTCCAGGTCCCTGGCACTATAACTCCCTTACCTCTGTATTAATTACCTTGCTGAATCTCCAGTCCCATAGCCAGTCTACTTTTTTCCTGTATCAGTGCCCCATTCAAAATTAACTAATTAACAGTCAACAAATAATTATTAAATTATTACACTGTAGGAACAGAGCTACAAACAAAAACTAGATAAAATCTGCTTTTAAGGAACTTAAAATTATGGTAAGGGAGTACTATGAATCTAGGAACCAAAATTAAAATATTCACAAATTCCCTTAACTTTAAGAAAGTGAATTAGGCCCTGACTGGGAAAGACAATAATTTAGGAGGGAGAAGGGGGCAGATTAAAGAAGTCTTCCTTTAGCAAGTGATGTCTGAGCCCTGAGCTCAAGGATGAGCAGAGTAGTTGGTAGAAAATGTCGGGCAGACGGTGAGCACGTGCAAAGGCCCTTATCTCAGAGGGTGCCTCCGTCCTCTCCGCTCCTGTTCTCACTGTGTGGTCTTCTCCCTCTCAGCCAGGCTCTATTATCTGATCCCTGTATTCCTCTTTGACCTCATCTTTTATCTTTCCCTTCCCCTTTCTCCACAATTACCCTCTTTCCTCTTTAGCCAGCATGTAATGTAGAACAAAAGAATGTTTAAATTATTGGTTTAATAATTACTATATTATTAGTGAAATAATTAATATTTCTTAATTTTTTAAAAAGGTAGTCAGATTGTGTAAATTTCCTTTTCTCTAGATGAAATCTGCAGAATTGAACTCTGGGCCACTCAAATGATTTCCTTCCTTGTGAATTAGTATAATTTCACTAAAAAGAAAAGCAAATATTAATAGTTCAGTTGATGGTAAGTGAAATCACTTCTCAACTTCACTCAATCACTTTGACAATACTATTCTGATATACAAGCTAAAAGCAAACTTAACCTAACCAAATAGATGGAACTCACTCTCCCTAATCATCCACAAAAAACAGTAAAATTTTATTTCTCCTCTTTTATAAATTATAAATCTGTTCAAAGACTTTAAACAGGTACAAATGTAGGAAAAAACTCACAATCCCAACGCAATGCTTTCTGTAGTTTCACTAGAACGTTAAATTTAGTGATATTAGTATATAATAGTGTGCATACCTTATTGTCTTCCCAATAAAGTGCAAAACATTCATCTCCAGGTTTCCACAGTTTTGCATACTCCATAGGAATAGATGACTCTAATACTTTGTCTGGTTTAATCGGCCCAGATCTTCTTTTGGGCCCACTATTGTAAACTATTTTATCATCATAGGGTGTAGCTGTGATGGGTCCTGCTGGCTTGATAGGTCCCACTCGCCTTCCCCTCGGCGGCATTTCTGTCTCTCCATTCGGAACACCAATGAAACTATGCGTTCGGACCGGATTCTGGTAATCAGTATTTACATTGAAATGTTTTTCCATTTTTACACCACTGAAAGCTTCATTATTTATTGTTCGTGGTTTCCTGTCATAAAAATGATCCAGATTTGCTGTTTGGTTTTCTCTTTTCCCACGTTTTTGATTATTATAATCTACAGATTCTTGAGGAGGTGGATTTTCTCTTGTGTCTCCATAGGACGGACCTCTTCCTGATCTGCTTTGCATAGAGTTCTCCCTTTTTCTAAAAGCACCATCACTGTGCTGAGAACTTGAAGGGTACGAGGTGTCTTTAGTCCTATCATATCTAGAATATGGTCTGTCACACCTGATTCTCTCCTCAGCCCATACTTCAGATGCCGAAGAAGTGCTTGGTCGTTCAGTACCTCTGTTTCTAGGCAATCCACTGCCTTCTAAAATTGACTTTGAATTTTGAGGGTCTCGTTGAAAACGAGGAGGTTTTTCATTTCTTGGTTGTCTGGTATCATTTCGAGGAAAATATCTTGGTTGATTATTATCTTTTATTCCATTTTGCTCAGTATTCAACAATCTGTGTTGTCCCTGATGAAGCTGCTGCGGTTGTGATTTAGGTTCTGAAAAGTAAATCATATGCATATTAAAATGATGACTACATGTTAATTCTTATTTAAAAATGCCTAAACACTATATTAATACAAAACTATCAAACTACTATTTTAACATCTTTCACTCTCTTCCCATCTCACTATTTTCACCCCTCTCTGCTTCCTTACAGTCCTGTATTTCTCCTGCACAGTGCCCTGAGTCAGCCACATTAGTGAAGTAAAGCAGTGATATGCATGAACCATGAAAACAATGGTGGGTGATTTAAAAGCAATTTGTCTTTGTTTACATTCTTATAATACAGATAGCTATATATGCAATTCTGGGCATTCATCTCCCAAGACATTAATGAAACAGAACTGCAAACTGCTAACTCAGAAGCTGCTATAACACTGCACAAGTACAATCTTTGCTCAACTCCTTTCTAAGTCCCACACCAGTGTAGAGAAGTATAGTTATTATTGTCAGTCAAACTCTGGCCTTCGCAACAATGTTATTTCTCAAATCTTTCTGCATCTGCAATTGCTAAGTGTTTGTATTACAGATATCTCACTATAGAAAGAGTTAATAATTTTCTTGACCTTTCAAAATAATTAAAAGCAAGTACTACTTGAAAATAGAGAAAATTGTCAAAAATATGACTAAGCACAACCGTGCAAATAATATACAACTAGATACCAAAATCAGTAACATGGTAAATATATGCTCATAGATAACTTAATGACTGTATTTCACACAGTTATTTTATTCTGTTTCAATCTATACCATGTCATCTACACTTTCTTCTTCCATTGTTTCACACAACATAATTACCCATAACATAATCTATAACATAATTACCAAACATACAGATAGGTCTTTGGTGTATTGTTTCTCTTGTCATAGCCCATAATCAATATGCAGGTCAGGATTATTCTTATATTTCCCCAGGGTCACAATACTTCTCAACAGTGGCACTATTGACATTTTGGGTGAGATTGTTTCCTGAACTCCAAAAAAATCAACCTCTTTGACCTCCAGGCACTAAATGCCAAAGCGCCCCCTCCCAGATGCCTAGTGTCTCCATACATTTCCAAACATCCCTGGAGGCAAAAAAAATAAGTACCAGTTAAAATGTTGAAATCAACAGGGAGACAGAGAAGACCTTTGAAAGTTCCTGAGTGACAAAACAAGTCACAGACTAAAAGATCAAGACTTAAAATGGGAATAAAAAACACCTCTCATCAGAACCACTAGAAGCTAAAGGCCAATCTTACAGGTTTTAAATGTCTTTGAAAAGAAAAACTGTTTTCTAAGTACAATTCTATATCCAGCCAAACCACCCATTAATTGTGACAAAGAATTAAGACTTTTCAAATAAGCAAGATACCAAATACTAGCCAAGACCATTTACAGAGACATTTTAAAAATTACTCTTTCCGAAGATCTGCTTTATAAATATAATACAAATATCTTGTTTTAAACAACTGTAGTCAACGTTAAGTTTTTCTTTATAGAAAAGAAAAATGGTCACCTTCAGTTTCTGCTGGCATTATTTATTATCCAGGAGTAAAGATTCAGGGAAGAAAGAATAGTAGTGAATATAAATAAGCAGTACACAAATGAGCATTTTCAACAGAGAACATATATTGGCATTTGTTCTAGTCATTATTAGAAAATAAAAACAGCAGTTGCCTCTTTCTATTTGCAGTGTATTAGGTACCCGAACTTGCACTTTATTATCAAATAGTCCCCACAGTGGTCTTGAGATACAGATGTTACAGGGTTTTATATAATAAAGAGAGGTCAAGTCCCTTGAATAATGAATTAAAGAAAATTTTCAGCTTCCAAAATAAATCAAATATGAAGATATTTTATTTATTGTTATTAGGCTTGAATAGATATTTGAGAAGTTACCATTTTAAAGTGGCTATACTTGGGGTTCAATTTGTCTTATTACTCCAGTGAGGGCCACTGGTATCTATGACGGCCAGAAAGTGCAAATGTACTAGGTCATCACAAGAGGACGGGGTTCTGGATAACCATGTTTGCAGAATGAAGGCTTCCACTAGGCTTGGTAGGTGTGGGAGAATTTGATTTCATTTCTTCTAAAAGAAAAAATAAGTAAAGATTTCCTAATCTATTTAATTGATGATATACATTAGATTATAGAATAAAACAAGTGACTTTACTAATAATGAACATACTTCATTTCCAATAATGTGCTGAGATAAATAGGAATGTTTAAAAATTAAACACAATGACAAAGAGGATAATGTTGTGAAAAGAACAGTTTTCATATATACCCATTTCATTTCAAAATAAAGTAACAATAAGCGAAGACAAAAAAGTCCTTACGTATTTCATCATTCTCAGATGTCCTTAAACCCAGTAACTTTTGTCTTAGTTAAGTAATGAAGTCAGATATAAAGTAAACATTTTTAAACTGAGTTAATCCATTAAAAAAATAACAGAATATGCTTAATTACTAAATTGTGGAAAAAGTAATTTCAGGTAAATTAAGAAACAGACCCCAAATCAAATCAAGAGCCCCTCAGTTCCCCAGTCAAACTTGAAGTGCTCTCTGCCACCTTCCTGAGGAGTAGAATGATTTCAAGTCACCAAAAATACGGATCAGCACCACAGGCCAGGTACACAATCACTCTAATACAAAATACACTGAAATATTTTTTCTGTATAAACAACAGAATAAAATGCATCAACTTTTTTTTTTTAACGGCCCACAGGGGAAAGACGAAACAAATGTATAAATAGAAATTGGTAACATTTAATAGTAAATACTAGAAAAAAGAAAAAGGAAGGTTAGCAAAAATAATAGAAAAACTCATCAAAAAATAACTAAACCTGTGAAAACATCTAAAAGATCACAATGATGAAAGCTCATGTGAAAAAACTGATCAAAGATGCTGTTAGTTTAGTCTGACTTGTGATAAAACGTTTGTTACACCAGATGATGCATTTCAAAATGTTTACAAGATAGCTGATTACAATTTTACATCACCGTGTTTTGAAATATAGAAATCAAGAATGAATTTATTGCCTGGCAGGTGTGGCTCAGTGGATTGAGCATCTTCCCATGGACTGAGAGGTACCAGTTTGATTCCCAGTCAGGGCACATGCCTGGATCGCGGGCTTGATCCCCAGTAAGGGGTGTGCAGGAGGCAGCTGATCAATGTTTCTATCTCTCTCTCCCTTCTTCTATCTCTAATAAAATTAAAATAAAAAATAGAATGAATTTATTAACTGTCATAAATTACTTGAGTTTTTATATTAATTCTTCTTTGCAGAATATTCATTCTGCAGTTGTACTTTTTTTAATAAGAGAAAAAAGTACATTTGTTTCTTCATTTTATTGAGAAACTTACCTAAAGAAGTGACCTAATATTTATTAAGATTTTACTATGTGCCCTACTCCACTTTAAAGGTCTTTTGCCTACATTGTTTCATGTAATTCTCATAACCACCCTGAAGGGCCATAACATTATGCTTATTTTACGAGTGAAGAAACAAAGCAAAGCTAGCAGCTAGCAAATGTTGAAGCCAGAATTTAAACTCAAATCTAACAGAAGCTAAAGCCCATGATCCTCCCACCCAGCCAAGCTACCTGCCCAGAGACACACATGAGTGCAACCAACAGCACGTTAGCTACAGTTTCGCACCTACATCTGTTCATTTCTGGGAGATGCAGAGGGCACAAGAGCTCTTTAACAGTCCCTGGTGGGCGAAAATATAAAATTGTATACTAGGGTTTCCAGAATACTGACCTAAATTAATAATATTTCTATTAAAGCAGAAAAAACTAAAACCCCTATGAACAGTTGGACTGCTATTTAGAAGCTCACAAACAAACGAGAGAGAGCATCATGCGCAGGTACAGCCTCTGGAGAGGGGCTGAACAGCTACACCACAGCTCTGCCACTTGGTAGCTCTGCAACCTCGGGTAAGTTATTTAAGTTTTCTGAGCCTCACCTTTAAGATAGGAATAATAACAGTTCCAACCTCAGAGGATTAACTAACTTAACACACGTAAAGTACTCAGAACCATATCTACCTTTAATAAGCATCCAATAAATGTTAGCTGTCATTGTTATCATTATGACTATTAGCATTATAATTATGCAAATAAACATAATCAATTGCATCAAGAAAAAACCAATACTTAGAGGATAAGGTGCTTTGCTATTTACATATCTTCACTACCAATAACTTCATCTTTAGTTAGGATCCTTACCTTGCTTTAGTTTTTTTGTTTGTTTATTGTTTTTTCTTGTTGAAAACAGGGCAGAACACTTTAGTAAAAATGTGTTTGTTGTCAAATTGTCAAAGTCATATTAGAGAGAAAATTTAGGTACATTTAAAAATCAAAATCATATTCTAATATATATATATTTTTCATTTAAAATATAATATATTGCCCAGCCAGTGTGGTTCAGTGGTTGAGTGTCGACCCATGCACCAGGTCACTAGTTCAATTCCCGGTAGGGTACACGCCCAGGTTGTGGGCCAAATCGCCAGTGGGCCATGCAGGAGGCCGCAAATCAATGTTCTCTCTCATCGATGTTTCTATCTATCTCCCTCTCCCTTCCTCTCTCTAAAATCAATAAAGAAAAATAAATATAATATTATAATATAATATAATAATATATTCTCTAGGCAAATTTTGTCTGTATACCCTTTAAATTTCTACATTAAAAATGCTAGCCTGGCCAGTGTGACTCCGTGGCCTGAGCATCATCACATGGACTGAGAGGTCCTGGTTCGATTTCCGGTCAAGGCACGTGCCAGGGTTGTGGACTCAATCCCTGGTAGGGGGTGTGCAGGAGGCAACAGATGGATGTTCCTCTCTCACACTGATGTTTCTATCCCTCTTTCCCTTCCGCTCTCTCTAAAAAAAATTCAATAAAAACATATTTTTAAAAAATGCTAAGAAATATTTTAAAAAGTAAAAATTACTTATAATCTCATATTAGAAAAATGTATAGAGTGAAAGTTCTACCTTCTGCCTGTCCAA